TTTTTTGGTTTTTTTTTTTCCTTTTTAATGACATTTGGATACCCCCTTATATCCTGTAGGTTTTGTACAAGGAAAATGTGGGGAAGGTGACCCCAACCCCCATCACCCCCGAGATGGAGAGAGTCAAGCGCAATCAAGAGATCATTAGCTCGGTACCATCCCAAAAATTTCTGGTTTCCTTCGCTGCAACTTAATCCAGTAACAGCCTAACTCCCACTCAAAGCTGGTTTTCATTTCAAAAGAGATTTATTTCTATTTTCTGCACATTAATCGCTCTTTCTAAACCCAGATTATTTCAGTGTTAACGGTGTGATCCAGGATTTTAGGTCTTTTTGATGATTTTCTTTGTGAATTTGTGGGTTCTATCCAGATAATCTCAAGAGTTTGGATCCCTTGGTGGAGATCAGGGAATGTTTGGGTTGGAAGGCACACAAAGCTCATTCCCTGGGCAGGGACACTTCCACAAGTCCAGGTTTTTTAGGGATATTCAGATTTCTCTCTGTGTTTGGTGTTTCAACTTCCATTGGATTTTCAGGCGGATTTGACTTCAGGGGAAACACCCATCCCTGACACCTTTATTTGAGGCAACAAAACTTTCAAAAAAAAGTCAGGAATTGATTCAAATATGGCCAAAAAATTCAGATAAACATTTCTTGAACAGATTTTTAGGACCAGAGGTGCTTCCTGAGCCTCTGCCCTGGATAGAGCCCGGCTCCATAACCCCAAATCCCAGCTTTCCTCTCTTCCCACATTCCTCACCCTCCTGGCAGCACTAAACCTTTTGAGTTCTCTGCAATCTGGTAACAAAAATAATAATTTCTGTCGGAACCTCGTGCTTCGGGGGGATTTTAAGCCGCCGGGTCGCTGTTGTGTGTCCCGCAGGTGTTGTACAAAGAGAACGTGGGGCAGGCGACCCCCACGCCGATCACCCCCGAGATGGAGCGAGTCAAACGCAACCAGGAGCACATCAGCTCGGTATTCCCGCAGGAAAAATTCCCAAACCTCCCGCTGGAGTGCTTAACAGGGCGTGACACAGAGCATTCCGAATAACCTCACTCTGCCTGCTTTTATTTAACTCTCTATTTCCTTTAAAAAGTCGCCTCTTCAGTGCTGTAATTTTAAACATTTTTTTTTTTTTGGAGTTTAACTCGTTAATATTATTTTCCTGACTTTTTTTATCCCTTTCCTAATGGCTGATGTTGAGTCTAAACCCAAAAAAAGCCCGGTTTTGTGCCCCGGTGACAGAGTTTCTTTGTGCTCTGTAGGTTGCGTACAGGGAAGGTTTAGGGAAAGCCACTCCCAGGCCGGTCACCCCCGACAGGAGCACATCAGCTCGGTATTCCCGCAGGAAAAATTCCCAAACCTCCCGCTGGAATGCTTAACACGAGAGCATTCCGAATAACCTCACTCTGCCTGCTTTTATTTAACCCTCTAATTTTTTCCTTTAAAAAGTCACATCTTCAGTGTTGCAATTTGATAGGATTTTTTTTTTTTTTTGCGTTAATATTATTTTTCCTGACTTTTTTTTCCCGTTTTCCTAATGGCTGATATTGAGTCTAACCCAATTAGAGCCCGGTTTTGTGCCCCGGTGACCGAGTTCCTTTGTGCTCTGTAGGTTGCGTACAGGGAAGGTTTAGGGAAAGCCACTCCCAGCCCGGTCACCCCCGACAGGAGCACATCAGCTCGGTATTCCCGCAGGA